GATCAAATCCATGAAGCAGATTTCTCTGAGGAGCAAGAGAGGACTGAGCTGTCAACTAATCTTTCCGAAAAACGGAGTCGCTTGGCAGCTCTTCCCACTTCGACCTTTAACCCGCTTCACTTCGAGGAATTCTTTACTGAATCACCTCCTATGAGTGAGTCGGGTTTAGACTGGGCAGGTAACGCTTGGCTCCTGAGGCTTACCTTTTCTTACCTTGTACCTTTGATTGACTGGAATTATTATTTCCAGGTTCAAGTGAGACGGAGGGCATTGTCCCGCCCGTAGCTCCCGTGGTACCGGAGGTCACTCCGGAGGTCGGTTGTACCGCGGAGGGTGGTCAGGGAGCTTCATCTGATCAAGCAGCTGCCAAGGAGGCGAATGAAGCTTCGACTGTTGAGCCGGAGCCCGAGGTGGAGATTGCTCCGTAGTGGCTGTGTCCACTTTAAATTGGGGATTGTCCCTTTACTTTTAAGACTTAATTTCAAACTTATTTTTGCCTAAGAAGGCTTTATTATTTTTCTTTTGAACAAGATATTTGCCTGAGGAGGCTTTTAAACCTTTCTAGGTTGTGACCCAAGAGGGTTTGGTTAAAATTATATGCGGGTTTGCAAAGTCCGCTTTTAACCTTTTGTGGCCTTGTGGCAATGCTTTCGAGATTTTTAGGCTGATCAGACCTTTCTCTTTAGAATGCGAGAACTGAGCTCGGCTTAAAGCGAGTTCCCCACTTCGGGTTTAGTCAACTCGATAAACTTATTGGGCTTGGGCCTTAGAAACTTTTGTAGTTAATGCGACGGTTGCGTTTTCCCTTAAGGAAAACGGCTCGTCTTTAATGCAAAAAGTGCTTTTTCTCGATTTCCAAAAATGGTTTAACCCACTCGGAAACGCTACCATTAATGAATTTATGGTTCCAAGACAAACCCTAAATCATTATAAATAAAGGCTTACCTACCTCTAGGCTTTATTAAACATGACTCTAGAGTCTCACTTGAGAAATATTTTAAGAATGGAAAACGAAACAGTAGCCCCCGTTGATCCCGGCAGCCCACTCTTCTTGTCCGGCGACGGCTTTGAGCCGGCCGGCGTTCTCTTCCCTCATGCCGTCTTTCACTTTCCTTCAAAGGAGAAAAAAGAGGCTTGCGACTTCATTGACAAGGTAAATATTTGAAGTTTTTTGATTAAAAACTCTTTGTTTCATCTTATTCATTCATTTTTATGCTAGGTTGCCGACAAGCACCGTCGCTTGTGTGAAGAGAGGCAACGGCTGGGCCTCAAAAGGCAGACACTCGAGGCTCGTATTTCTCGGGTGGAGAGGAAGATCAGGGCTTTGGAAAGTGATCCCTTTCAGTGGGAATGGCGGAATTTCGACTCCGTTGCTGAGATATTGAGGATGCTTCGGATGTACCTCCGTGCTAAGGGGGTTCCGGGTCCTGTGAACGCCCCGGTCTTCCCCGTTCCATCTGATAGCGAGGAAGAAGATTTGGAGGAGGAGGCCAGCAACTGTCGGAATGTCGGAAACGCATTCGGGATCGTTCCGAAGTGAACTCCAAGGACAAGGCGTCCACTTCGGAAGTTAAACCGGCGATGAAGGAGCCTGTTCCTGAGCCCCTTCCTTAAATGTTCCCTAACTCTGCTCTCTTTTTTTTTTTTGAAAAAACTCGTAATGGGCTTCGGCCCCCTTTTATTTATGGAAACACTTGCAACTTTCTTTAAAATATTCTTGGTGATACGATTTTTAATGCAGGATCGGTTTTAGGGATTAATCTTCTCCGCGAATCACTCCATTCCTAGGATAGAATCTGCAGCTCACTAAGGATATGACGTTACTATAAATTATAGTCTCAATTTCCCTTTACTCCTCACCACTCTTTTTATTTTAGCAGGTATGGAGTTCAATCTTCGCTGTTCAGAATCTATGCCTGACTTCTCCAGAATCGGAATGATGAGCGAAGATGTTCCGAAGATGTTCCCATTCTTTTTCTTGACAACGACAGTATTTGCTACCCACTCCGGATATTGCACTTCTCTTATGGACCCTATCTTCAAGAGTTTATCCACTTCGTCGTTTACTATTTTTGCCCGCTCCACTCCAAGCTTTCTTCTTTTTTGTTTCACCGGTTTGAAGCTTGGATCTACGTTTAGTTCATGACAAATTATACTCGGGTTTATGCCCGGCATGTCCGCTGCTGACCATGCAAATGATGCTTTGTTTTTCCTTAAGAGTTCGATCAAAGCTTCTTTTATTTGGCCAGTCAAAGTTGCTCCAATTCTAATTTTCCGGTCCGGCTTGTCTTCTTCCAGTACCACTTCGACTACTACATCCTCTTTCTTCTGCCCACTAGGAAATTTTGTTTTTAGTCCTTCTTTTGCAGGCTTCGTTAATTGCTATTGAATCTTCATACGGTGGCTAGCTAAGTAACAAGTCCGTGAAGCTTCTTGATCTCCCCGAATTGTTTCCACCCCATTTGATGTTGGAAATTTGATACATTGATGGTATGTAGAGGGGACTGCTTTCATCCGATAAATCCAGGGAGTCCCGAGGATGATGTTGTAAGCTGCGGGCTTATCGAAGACAACGAAGTCCACGATCTTCGATACCTTCTTGGCAAGGACCGGTAGCTTGATTGTTCCGAGAGACATGGCTGACTCGCTTGTGAATGCAACTAACGGAGATGGGGGTCCTACTATGTCTCCTCGGCTGATTCCCATTTTTTCTAGAGTACTTAAAAAGATCAAGTCGACCGAACTGCCTGTATCTATAAGGATCCTTGATACTTCGAAGTTAGCGACATCAAGAGTAATGACTAGAGCATCATCATGCGGTCTTTCGAGATGCCGCGTTTCTTCTTCGTTAAATGATATTGAGGCACCTTGAAAATCAATTTCTTCGCTCAAGCTTGCTTTGAGTAAGACATTTCGCCTATGCTTTTTGATGGAACTTATTGAATCTCCGCAAAATCTGGAACCTCCTAGAATCACATTGATCTTACCCTTCGAACTCCTTGGTTCCTCCTCGTTGGATAACCTTGGTCTTTTGGAATCTTGATCTTTGGAGTTTCCCTTTGCTTCGTGGTATTCCTTCACAAAATCTTTTATATCGAATTTAGAAAGATCGCCACTAGCCCAAAGCTCTGCGAGGTGCTTTTTAAGAACGCTGCAATCCTTGGTTAAATGTCCGGTTACTTTATGAATGTCACAATATAGACTTTCATCACGGACCCAAGTGTTTGATCTTCCTTTTCCTTGGAATTGTTTTCCGACGGTATTGTTGAAGGGTTGCGACCCAAATTTCCTTGGTCCTTTGCTCTCCCTAGGCTCGAACTTCTTGGCAGGGACGGTGATTGCTGGCTTTTCTTGCTTATTTCTTTTGGCAAAACTTTCCTTTTCGTCCTCTACCTCCATCCAGTTGTTCGCGCGGAAGAGTGCATCCTGAATTGTGTCCGGTTTGTGAAGTATTAAGTCTTCTTTAAACCTTGAATCATGTCGCAGTCCTTTTCGTAGGGCAGATAAAGCTGATTGCTGCGAGATTCTTGGGAGCTTTGACAGCACTCCTTTGAATTTGGTGATGAAAACTCGAAGTGACTCATTAGATCCTTGCGATAAGTTCCAAAGATCGGCATCTGAAACGCTTTTATCCATAAGGATGGAGTATTGCTTTAAGAATACGGCTGATAGTTCGTCGAAATTACTGATCGAACCCGGCTCTAATTGGGTGAACCACATTAGAGCTTGGCCACACAGATTCTCCGAAAAAAGCTTGCAGTAACCTGCATCCTCATCAGCTTCATCCAATTCGACTCTTCCAGCAGCGATCAGAAAAGCTGCGAGATAGCTTTTTGGATCCTCCAATCCGCTGTAAGGGTCCAACTTGAGCTTCCGGGAATCTTTGATCCTCAAGCTTGCAATTCGCGGGATAAAAGGGGTTCGCCTAGCTTCTTCAATGACTCGATTGATGTCTGGCTCCGAACTTGTAGCCTGGTGAAATTTTGATTTCATTTCTTTTAATTCCTGGCTAACCTTCCTCATGGTCTCGAACTGGTCGAGGTTCTCCTGCTCGTACTGAGCTGCGAGTTGTTCTTCATCCCCGAGCTGCGTCTCTTCCTCCAACGTCTGAGCTACATTATTAGTAGCACCGGGAGTTGTTTGTCCGCTGGTTTCATTTCGTGCAGCGGAACTTGGCGAGTTGAATATCCCTCTTCGGATTCCCACCGGGTTTCCTGCACTTAAAGAGCGAACACGAGTTTGTATAGTATTGACGTTTTGACTAAGAGATACCTGGGATGTTTGCAACGTATCGACGGCCTTCTCCACATCCGAGAACTTTTGTGATATGTCCGCCATGGTTTGCTGCATAGCTTTGAGGGTTTCGGCCAATGATCTCTCAGCAGCGTCTCCTCCGGACATTGTTGCTTATCTCGGAAGTGTGATAAAGAAAAAATCTGACCACTCAAGAACCTTCTCTCCCCACAGACGGCGCCAAAATGTGGATGTCGGATTCACACACTCAAGTATTTTGTTAAGTGGGAAAGATTATTCTTGAGGGACAAAAATGAACGTATAAAAACTTGTAAATTAATACGAAAATTGCTATAGTATTTCTCTCTTGAGAGGAAGGTCCCTTTTACATGGCCATTGGCCTCTATATTTATACATAGATAAGCGACATTAAAATGGATAATTAAGCACAATTATTCCTTCTTAAATATGTCCGTTTTGATTCTTCGACTTTAATGCTCAACGTTTGAATTTGAGTTGACTCTGATCTTCATGGGCCTCGCCTTTTTGGCCCAAGTGTCCTTGAACCGACTTACCCGCGTCTTCTACACCGAACTCATATCACAGTGCAGTCACTTCGGATTCTCGAAGTGGTGACAACCACTTCGACCGTCCCCTCGGTTCACGGGCCCAATGGGCTTCATCCTTTATGGGCCACCCGCTTGACTACGTGGCAATCTTTGGTTGGTCTCGTACTTCTGGTGCGGGATCCGACACCAACAATGATGATTCGTTGACAACTTTGTTAGCACGAGCAGCAAGAACACCCGTAAAATAATACACTCCCTCACGCTCTTCACCCGCACCAATCAAAGTTCTCGTAAAACGGTCCTGCAAGAAACATAAGGCATCAGTAAAGATTGCAATACATCCAGTATGCTTTAGTAACTTGGCAACAGAGATTAATGTGCAGTTAAAATCCGGCACAAATAGCACATCGGGAAGTGAATATGCTTTATTTAGCGCAAGAGTTCCACGTTTAGTGGCACGAGAGGCAGTCCCGTCAGGCTTTGTGACAGGCGAAGGTATGATGTTTTTGACATCCGTGAGTAACGTGACATCGCCGGTCATATGATGTGAAGCACCTGTGTCAATGATAACGTCAGTAAATTGAGTTTTACCCGACAACTTTTCTGTAGTGGTGGTCTGATTTTGAGCTTGAAGTAGTGAGATCAATTGATTGATCTGAGCATTGTTTGTAGAAGGAGAGCTAGTACTAGCAGCGTTAGCACGGCCTCTTCCACGATAGCTAGAGGATGAAGAACGTCCGCCGCGATTGTTGTTGCCACGACCAGTGTTACCACGACCAGATGATCCTCGTGTCGCAGAGCCGTTAGAGCCATTCTGTTCTAGCCACCAGTCTGGATAACCATGGACCAAAAAACACTCTGTTACTTCATGGCCTTGACGATGGCAGTGAGTACAATTCAAAGAAGAGCGATCGCAAAATCGAGGAGCAGAGACTGCCGCTACTTGAGATGGTTGCGGAAGTGGTGTGGTTTGAACTGAAAACCCGACAGCCTCTGTTTTGATGGCATCCTTGATGCGTGATGCGTTGAGGTTCTGTTCTTCACGAATCACACGAGAATACACTTGATTTAGAGCTGGTAGAGGATCTTGATCGGTAATTGTAGAGCGAATAGGCCGGAAGCGTTCATCCAAATTGAGTAAGAATTGATGAACCTTGTCATCTTCACGTTCTTTAGCAATGTCAGGAGCAGCTGCACACATACACGTCCGACCAGTCTTGTAGTTTTGTAGTTCTTCCCAAAGCTTGGTTAGTCTCCCATAGTAAGCAAGAACAGATTGGCCATCTTGCTTACACGCCGAAATTTCATCTTTGAGCAATTGTTTGAGGACACCGTTTCCGGTTGAGAAGCGTTGTTTGAGATTATCCCAAAGCTCTTTTGCATCAGACACAAAGACAACAGTTGAACGTATGGTTGGATCAATAGACGTTCTAATCCAACCGATGATCATAGAATTTGCAGCTTTCCATGATATCAAATCAGGTTCTGTCGTTGGCTTTGGTGTTGAACCATCAAGAAAGCCGAGTTTGTGTTTTGCTGGGAGAGAATTCATGAGCTCTGTAGCCCATTCAGAGTAATTGTCTTCCTTTAAGACAACAGAAGAAATCAAAGCACCGGGATTATCAGAAGCATGAAGTTGATATGGATTTGGGTTTGGTTTTGGTACGGTGGCGATTTCTGACATAGAGGATGATGTGTAGAAGAGATAGAAACGAAAGAGATGATTGCGGCGGCATTGGTTGTGAAGAACAACGACGGCGGCGGCTTATTTAAAAAAAATTAGGTCACAGAATTTAATAGCTCTGATACCATGAAATAATAGGTTAAAGGTTGGTTGTGTTTATTCATCTGTTGTGAGTATTTATACATATAGGATCTAAGGGTTTTCCCTTGTACATGAGATAAGACTAAATCTTCTATGAGATACATATCGAAGTCCATTAGGCCCATTACATTATAACACCATGAAATTCAATAGGAAACCACAAACCATGAAATCAAAGAGACGAAGGCAATCACACACTTAAAGAAACAGACAAAAGTCATCAACAAAGATTAAAGAACATCGAGAGATCAACACTTAGAAAACGGAACTTTAGGGTTTTAATTTAGATCCTCAAAAGCCCATTCGTTCTCCTTGCGAATCTCTTCTTCTTCCTCAGGTGTGAAATCGTTCTCGATGTTAAAGATTTCTCGAACTTCCTGTGGCGTCTTATCTTTGATGTAATCTGCAATGGTCTGGCTAGTGAGATCAAGAAGACTTTTGACGTTGAGATAGTTAGCAGCGAGAAGGAGTTGGAACATTGTTTCCATATCAATATCTTTCATGAACTCTGCGTCCCAAGTCACGAGCTCTTTCTTGGCTTCCTCGTCTACATTTTCGCTTATTTCTTCAACAACATCACTATCATCAACATCATTAACGTGTTTCTTGCAATACTCGATAACCACAGCGAGGATCTTTCCAGTGACGTTTTGAAGCGGGATTGCTTTATCGGCGCAGTCGTCATCAATCATGTGCGCTATGATCTGCAGTTTACGAGCCACCGCTTCGTCAACCTCGAAAGATTCATCATCGGAGCTAGTCAACACAATCTTGTTCGAAGACATATTGTTTGTTTTGTTGGTTAAACGAAGAATAAGATTTTTGAGAGATTTTATGGAAGAAATTATTGTTGAATGAAATTGATGAAGCTATGCAAGCCTCTCTTATATAATGAGTTGAGAGTGGGTCAAATCTTGAATTTAGGAAATATGGTAAATTTTCATAATTAGAACAAAATCCTAATTTAATTAATTACGCTCTTATCTTTTCTTTTAATATTTGACCCATATATACTACATACATGCTAATAAGAAAATATTGATTAGATTTTATAGATATTATACTAATATTGTAATTTAACATTAAAAATATACTAATTAACCATATATTATTATATTTATATATAGGATTGAGAATTTCACCTAAAGCAAAATTTAATTTTAGGTATCTCTTATCAACTCAATGTAAATTTTATCATATTGTATAATATAGTGAGATTATTTATTTAGAAGATTTTAAAATAATTACTTTTATGACATTTACTTTAATTGTTCTAAGATATTTTTACTTTTTCAACACTTACCAACAGTTAACGTGGAGAATTCAATAACAACATACCACATCAGTCGGAAGTCTACTTTAATAAATATTTTCAAAAATTATGGCAAGTAAATGAAAATTTAGTAAAAGAAGTCAGATTGTGAAGTTAGCAACTAGTTAATTTCATCCCCATTAATTATTTTGACTCTTTTTTATGGCAGTCGTGTATATTACATATAGTGGCGGACTCATAACTTAATATGATGTCAATAAGCAGGAATTTGGTTTACAGGACTCATCTGAGCTCGGTTATATGATTCTATTCAATTGCGTGAAGTCTATGAGTACTTGATAGGGTGTTTTTAGGTCTTTAGTCATGATTTGATTAGTGTAACGTGTTGGTCCGCAGGGAAACAAATATAGAATTATTAGATTTTGTATAGCTTTTGGTTTCATTTTTGAGTTTCCTAGACGAATCGAATAAAGTAAATGAAACATTAAAAGATAAACATAAACGAGCACTTAGGACATAGGGGGGTACTAAACAAGGCTAATATAATTTTTTAACATGCGGATCATATATGTATATATAGAGCTCACAAAGCTAGATTTTTCCTCCTATGGTTTAGATAGAAAAAGAGAAGGCATCTAGTTATGAGGACATTCGAAAGCCAATTTAATCCTTATACATCATTCATTTCCCTTACTTGGTCATGTTTCTAACAACACTATGGTACCTAACATGTTTGGATCAAACCATTTTTGAGTAGTACAGTCAGTTGTCAATTCCCAAGATTTCGATTTGTCACACACCGAACAGACTGGTCTTCAAACGATCATGTAGAACCTATGCCTCATAAATATTAACACCCAAAATCCTAGTTCAAAACATGCATCTTTACAAGGACTAAATGTTGTCTAAGATCGTTTTATAGATTTTCAGTCTAAACACGTAATGAGTATACACAATTATGTGTAGAAAACAATTCACCTTTAACGAGGTTTACAATTCATAAACATCACCCCGTATGTCTATTAGCAGTCTAGCAGAATTTACTTCGTACATAAATCAAAGATGAAAAACAGAGACTTCCATATACTATATCTTTCCAAACTTGAAAAGTTAAAGAAAGAAACTTCTTAGAACTACAAATGGAAATTAAACATAATATAAAAGACAAGAACAGGTTCTCTGAAACTTCAGAACTCAGCCCTACGCTCCCCTCTCTCTCTCTTTCTCACGTTCTATGATGTTTTCTGTGTAGTAGTATGGATATGGGCCTTTGGGGTGCTTCTATATGAGGTTGGATAAGTTTTTCAACAAAATTTACGACCAAAAGATTACATGACAAAAATTAAAATAGTATTAATTTGCATATATAACAACCTCTTCTCGCATGATTTTTATTTCAATATACCGTATATATAAACATCATAAAATAATAAATTGCTCTATGATAATCATCTTAACTTAACCTCTCATTTATCAACCCAAAGAAAAAAGAATATGAAAACTAAATATTATATTCCGATCCTAGGTTTGAAAAGGAAAAGGAAAAAAAAAAACAAATTATTACCAAATAATATAAAACTATATTATTTTATACGTACAAGCCTAAAAGAAATAGTAAAATTTTATCGCTATTATATAGTTTAATAAATAAATTAAGAAGGAAATTCAAAGATACGGAGAAACCCTAATAATTTATAGTACTTTTTGGTTCCCAAAAGAGAACGGCGGCGATGTTTTGTTCTACCTCTACAGCCGGAGAAGATTCCGAATCGCCGGCGGATTTTAGTGGACGATTCTATTTTCACTCTATATATTTATTGATCACCATAATAGAGAGAGCAAGGTAAAGAAGAATTAACAACGAAATCGAAGTCAATCACACACTTGAGAATACCAAAATATAAAATCATTCATCAAAACCCTAAAACAGACAATTAGAAACGAAACAAAAAACTAGGGTTTTGGTGTATCAGCCTCATCAAAAGCCCATGCGTTTTCCTTGCGAACCTCTGCTTCTTCCTCCTCAGTGTAATCGTTCTCGACTCCGAAGACTTCTCGAATTTGTTCTGGCGTGTAATCTTTGATGGTATCTGCAATTGTCTGAGAAACGAGATCAAGAAGGCCTTTAACATTGAGATAGTTAGCAGCGAGAATGATTTGTAAGAGTGTTTTGATATCAAATTTCTTCATGAACTCTTCGTCCCAAGTCTTGAGCTTCGTCTGAGCTTCCTCGCTTTCTTCTTCGTCGACGTGTGTTTTGCAATACTCGATAACCATGGAGAGGATATCTCCGGTAACGTTTTGAAGAGGGATTTCGTTAATAACACAGTCGTCTTCGAGCATGTGTCCTACGATCTGAAGTTTTCTTGCTACCACTTCTTCAACCTCGAAAGATTCGCCATCGGAGCTAGTCAAAACAATCTTGTTTGAAGACATATTGTTCGTTTTTTGAGGTTTTTGGGTGATGAAAAGAATTGGTTATGAATTATGCAAAGATTTTAATGAATGGAATAGAGGAGTTGATGAATTTGTCTATTTATAAAATTTTAAGTCGGTCAATTGTGTAACACATGTGTTTCCGCTTTTCTCCCAAATAAAATATGGAAAAGAAGATGCAAATCTTCCTAATTTAACTAGGGTTTAGTTTTAAAATTTTGGGCTTAAAACCGTCGAGTAAAAAAGATATACTTTGGGATTCTAGAAACTTACAAAAAAAAAAATTCATAAACATGGATAATTTCTATGCAAAATTTATATGACATTAATTTAATTATGGGATAAGAGTATTAAGTTTGGTAACAAATTATTCACTTTATCAGTTGCGTTCGTTTAGTTTGTTAGGTTTGGGAGTCGATTGTGATCTCACCCATTGATTTTCTACTTCTCTTTGAATAACTACTAATTAGAAGAGTAAATCTCAAATTAAATCTCTATTGATCTTAGCTAGTTCTCGTTACAACAGTACATAAAATTCATAAAGTAATAAATTGTTTTAAGAAAACCATAACCTCGCAATTATATACAAGTATTTATATAAAAAAAAAATATAACGGTGTGAATTTATGATAACTAGTTCAAGAAAGAAAAAATTCTTTTTAATCATACGAACTAAATGCCCAAAAGAAAAACTAATAATTTTAAGAAAAGGGAAAAATAATGGTAATTTTTTAACGGCGGCGACTTTTTGTTACTACGTTTACAGTCGGGGGAAAGAATTCCGAATCGCCGGGTGATTTTGGTGGACGATACCTTTTTTTTAATAATTATGGTGGACGATTCTATAGTTGGGATATAATATTTATTCACTCTAAAAGATTGCTAAAGCATATTTATTGATTATCATAATAGAGCAAGAACATTGGTCGATTATCTAAGAAGAGAATTAATTATCAACGAAATTAAAGAGACTAAAAGTCAATCACACACTTGAGATAACGGAAGCAAATCACTAACCAAATCAAATATAGAAAAAGAAAAGAAATAAGAAAAAGAAACGAAACGCAAAGCTAGGGTTTGTAAAAAAAAAAAACTAGGGTTTTGGAACTTCTTGTGCTGAAGCAGCCTCAAAAGTCCAAGCGTTCTCCTTGCGAATCGCTTCTTCTTCTTCAGGTGTGAAATCATTCTCGATGTTAAAGAGTTCTCGAACTTCCTCTGGCGTCATATCTTTGATGTAATCTGCAACGGTCTGGCTAGTGAGATCAAGTAGACCTTTGACGTTGAGATAGTTAGCAGCGAGAATGATGCTGAAGATCGTCTCAGTATTGAGATCCTTCATGAACTTTGCGTCCCAAGCATCGAGCTTCTTCTTCGCCTCCTCAGATGCATCATCTTCTTCTGATGATTTAGGCACCACCACATCATCGACCTTCTTCTTCGGCTCCTCAGATGCACCATCTCCTTCTGTTGATTCAGGCACGACATCATCAGCGACCACATCGTCGACGTGTTTCTTGCAATACTCGAGAACCATGGAGAGAGTCTTTCCGGTAACGTTTTGAAGAGGGATTGCGTTAATAACACAGTCGTCTTCGAGCATGTGTCCTACGATCTGCAGCTTTCTTGCAACCACTTCTTCAACCTGGAAAGACTCGCCATCGGAGCTAGTCAACACAATCATGTTCGAAGACATATTGTTTGCTTTGTGGGTTAAACGAAAAAAAGAAGTTTTTTTTTTTTTGTGTAGAGAAATTTGATGAGAGATTGTTGAATCTACATATACATTTTTATAGAGTTTTTTTGCATTAATTCATTTGGATCCAGGTTTTACCCGGGTTTAATTCTATCCGGATCTTGGATAAGGAATTTTAGGAATGTTGTCTTAATTTCAAACTAATAAATGAAGCCATATTGTCTTAATATCTTTCATATTAATGACCCTAATAAATAGCCGATTTTAATGAAAAATCGTTTCATATTTATGCTCATAATAAATGTCCAGATTTTAACAATATATACATATATTATGAAATTATAAAGAAAAAAACGTATTTTTTTTAGCAGTATATATATATATATATTATGTTAATAAATTTGTTTAATATTCTAATAATAAGCTATGTCATTTTTTTTTTTACAATAACAGATTAAATATAGGCAATTGCCCATTTAAATTGCAATAAATTTAAAATCAAAATAACAATCTACATATATATTTTTACAGGGGTTTTTTGCTTTTAATAATTTGGATCCGGGTTTTACTCGGTTTTCTATATCCGGATCTTGGATAAGACATTTAAGGAAATCTAAAAAAAACCGTCATTAATGTAGATAATTACACATATATTTCGGTATAAGCATATTCCAAAAATCTCTCCCAAATCAAAGATGTTACGTTCAAAAACTGTTGCCAAAAATCTCTCGCTTTCCTTCTAAAATCTCTACCATTGGCTGTCATCCCAACTAATTACTCATAATTATCTTTCCTATATTTCTTTTTTTTTCGAGATTTGCAAGAAAATTACTCAATTCCAAAAATAAAAGATTTTGAAGATATTGTGTACTTGATCAGCAAGATTTTAGGAACTCACTCACCCAAAACCCTATAGTATTCTCAAAACATTATAAATACCTTTCATTAGTCTAATAAAAACTCACCAGTTTTACAGAAAATGAGAAATCGCAGACGTGATACAATCTGTACGGACTCCGGGAAGAGCTAGGAGACAGTGGTGAACCGGGATCTAAACCTCGCCGACGATGTGAAGATGGTGAAGAGGAGGAGATCGTAATTCTTTAGGTTTCGATTGGCAAAACAAGACGATCGGCGATCCAAAGATCCACCGCCTGAAACGCAACATCGAATTGATCACACCGAATATCTTCAGATTTCAGATATGCTTTTCCGGTGATAGCTTCAAAATACACGCCGGGAACTCCTTGATACGCTACACGGAGAGTAGATCCATGCGTTTTGCTGCAGCTTTGAAGAAACAAGGCTCAGATCGACGGAGCCGTTACTGTGACCGTTAACGACGGTGACTTCATCTGCTAAACCACCGATGATTGAGTTTGAACTTTCCGTTTCTAAGTTTTTCATTTTGGATATATGAGAGAGTTGAATAAAAACAATTTGGGCTCTGTAGGTCTTTACAAAATTGGTAGACATGATTCTTTGTTATTGGGTTCTAATACTCTATGTGTTTATTTTTTCATTATGTGAACTAATGAAAGTTGCATACTTAAATTTTTTTTCATGGCAGTTCTAAACATATTATTTTTAATATTTGTGATTATATAACAATAATAGGTTAGTGTTAATTATGGATCATTAAGGTTTGAATAGTTATAAAATAATTAGAAAATACAAATAAAATAACAAGGCCGGTGCAAAACTATTAATTCAGACCTTAATTATCGGATCAGTTCAAGCTTTAACCCATGTCTTTTTCTGAAATTGCTAAAAATAAGTAATGTTCTCAAATAAATTCAAATATCAAATCTTCATAAATACATTAAATACGTAAGATTTAAAATTATGGAGCAATCTTTTCTAATTAAATTCAAAAATTTCTAATTCAAAAATTTCTAATTGATATATTTAAATTTTTTGGCGTTTGTTTGCCAATTTAGATATGGTTTTTGAGTTTTTATAAAATAGTTTTAAATATTACGGGACGAATTGTATGACACGGGTTTGGTTAGGATTGATATTAATATAAATTTAAAATATCACTAATACATCGCTATAACACATATTAAAACCTCATTTTATTATTTAAAATTTAGCATACGGTATACCGCGGGTAAAATCAGTATAAGATGGGTTAAATCAGCATCTTATTCAAAATCATACAATTGAATCTATTGTTTTTATACTACGTCTATCTATAAAATTTCAATTTTTGTAATAAAATTTCGTCTCACAGTGTATTATACATTTAAATTAAACAAAACAATAGTATATATCTATAGAGTATCTTAAAACAAAATTTAATAAATTTTTCTAATAAAAATATAGACCCGCGGTGTACCGCGGGTTAACATCTAGTGAATGATGAAATAGAAGAGTCGATGAATGTCTCTATTTATAGAATCCTAAAAGAGTCGGTCCATTGTGTTTTCCTTTTCACAATTAGAATTGGGTATCATGTTGTTTCCTTTTCTCAAAAGGAAATAAGGATAATAAACGCAAATCCTAATTTAACTCATGAGCTCTTACATTCATTGCGTACCAGGAAAATTAAAAACCCATATATGGCTTTGAAGCTTGATATTGCAAAGGCTTTTGACAAAGTTGAGTGGGATTATATTGAGAAAATATTGAGACGACTTGGTTTTGCAGATCAGTGGTGTCAATGGATAATGAAGTGTGTTACTTCAGTAACATATTCAGTGCTTGTTAATGGTTCACCAACAAAGAAGATCATACCATCTAGAGGCTTGCGCCAAGGTGACCCTATTTCCCCTTATCTCTATCTTTTATGCACTGAAGGACTCTCTTCCCTTCTTACTCATGCAATGAACACAAATGCTATTCATGGTTTCAAAGCTAGTTGCAATGGACCAGCCATTTCTCATATGCTTTTTGCTGACGACTCATTACTTTTCTGTCAAGCTAATGCTGAGGAATGCCAACAACTTCTTTCCATACTCAATGCTTATGCGAAAGCTTCAGGCCAATACGTTAATTTTCAAAAGTCTGCAATACTATTTGGGAAGACTGTCACTCTTGAAACTCAGCAACACATTACCACTGCTACAGGTATTGCAAAAACAGGAAGTTTTGGCAAGTACTTGGGGTTGCCTGAGACAGTAGGACAGAATAAATGTGATACTTTTGGTTTCATTGCCCAGAGAGTTCAGCAAAAGCTTCAAAGTTGGTATTCAAATTTTTTATCATTGGCTGGGAAAGAAGTGTTGATAAAGTCTATAGCTACTGCTCTCCCAACATATACTATGTCCTGTTTTATGCTGCCTAAGAAGCTCCTCTCTCAAATTACAGGACATATAAGACGATTCTGGTGGTCCACTATCAAGGAAAAGCAAAAGATTCCATGGATTGCTTGGCGCAGAATGACTACTTTGAAGCAGTATGGGGGAATGGGGTTCAGGGACTTAAACCTCTTCAACACAGCGTTGTTGGCTAAACAAGGTTGGAGGCTGTTAAAGGAACCACAATCACTGCTTGCCCGAGTCCTAAGAGCTAAGTACTTCTCCAAATCCTCTTTAATGGAGGCAAAGCCTGGATATCGTCCAAGCCATGCATGGAGAAGCATTTTGCAGGGTATGCAGCTTATTAAGCAGGGTTTAAAATGGAGTGTAGGAGATGGAAATACGATTAAGGCCTGGCATGATCCATGGCTTAGTAATCCTCCTAGACCTGCTCGTTGTTTACCTTCTTCTACCACTGATCATTTTCTAGTTTCAGATCTCATGAAGCCTAATCTAAATGAATGGGATGACACCAAGCTTCATGACAGAGTGCACCCTGAAGATATCCCAATTATTAAGAGTACTCGCTTAAGGCAATTCAAAGCACCTGATGTTCCAACCTGGATCTTTACTAAGGATGGTCAATACAGTGTTAAATCTGGTTATCATCAATTAACTAAGCCAGGTATAGAGCATTTCTTGCCTAATCCTACAATGACTACTCTATGGAAGCAGCTTTGGAAATTAAATATCCCACCAAAAATCAAACATTTTTGGTGGAGAGTTATGCATAATGCTCTTCCAGTAGCTAATAACCTTGCTCGCAGGAGACTCAAAGTCATACCAGATTGTATTTTCTGTGGTGATGCACAAGAATCAATCCTCCACCTTCTCTTTCAATGCCGTTTTGCAAAAGAAGTGTGGGAATTGTCACCACTACATATTGAGCCAGGTCAGTTGGAGAGTAGAGATTTGCTTGATGATATAATGCAATATCTCTTCAAGTTTAGTAACCAAGCTATGTCTAAGGAGTATCTTTTTCCATTTATTGGCTGGAGATTATGGAAAGCTCGAAATGAGTTATTCTTTAACAACAAAAGATGGGCTATCCCTGAGATTATTCATGATGCCATGATGGATTTTAAATTATGGACAGATTCCCAGGCTACTCCTAATATATCTCTCCTGAAACATGGAAAGTCAAAGGCTACTACTCTCCAAGAAATAATGCACCATACTTCTTCCTTTGTTTGTTGTGTAGATGCTTCCTGGCTTGATTCACAGTCACGGGCAGGTATTGGGTGGATTCTATATAATCCACAGGGCCGTCGTGTTCTTAGAGGATTCTCCTCTGTTGCTCCAGTTACTTCTGCCCTGGAAGCCGAGGCCTTGGCACTTAAAGAAGCACTTTTTCATCTCAGACGTCTTAATTATGTGGATGTTATCTTCTGTGGTGACTCAATGCTCCTCTATTGCCATCTGGAGAAGATAAAGAAGATGCCACATTCTGTTCCTGGTTGCTTGGAAATTCAATCATATCTGGATGATATTACAGCTTTATCTCTGAGCTCTTTTGCTTTCAAGTTTATTTGTAGAAATGATAACAGTGTAGCTGATCTACTAGCTAAAACAGCTAGAAGCCAAAATCTCCCTTTTACTATCTCTTGGGAGTACTAAGTTGTATGGAGTACTAAGTTTCTTATATTAATGAAAAGTTGGCCGACAAAAAAAAAAAAAAAGTGAAGATATATTTCTAGAAACTTTTTTTAGCAATATAACAATATTCCTTTTTGTTTCTTAATTTAAGAATAAAAAAGTGTTTTATAAACGTGGAAATTTTGTATTTT